ACTCGTCGTCGTCGTCTTCGATACAGGCAGGACCGGCCTCGACAGGAGCTTTTGACAGGCAGTCGGCGTCATTGTGCTTCAGGCCGGACTTGTACACAACGGTCACGTCGAACTCCTGAAGTCGGAGGCTCCACCGGGCGAGGCGTCCGGAGGGGTCTTTCAGATTCGCGAGCCAGCAGAGCGAATGGTGGTCCGTGACCACGCGAAAAGGACTTCCATACAGATATGGGCGAAACTTTGTTATTGCCCAGATGACAGCAAGGCACTCCTTTTCAGTTGTAGAGTAGTTCCTCTCCGCCTTAGACAGCGTCCTACTCGCGTATGCGATGACTCGCTCTACCCCGTCCTGCCTTTGAGCTAGCACCGCGCCAAGTCCGGTGTTACTGGCGTCCGTGTGGATCTCTGTATCAGCGAACTGGTCGAAATGGCCAAGAATAGGGGGCGTCTGGAGTCTTCGTTTCAGCTCGTCGAATGACCGCTGGTGTTCGTCTGTCCATTCGAACTGTACGGCGTCTTTCGTGAGGTGCGTCAGCGGTGCGGACAGCTTGGCGAAGTCCCGAACAAATCGTCTGTAGTAGGCACAAAGCCCGAGGAATCTTCTCACGGCCTTTTTGTCAGACGGCGGCGTAAATGCAGCTATGGCGCGGGTCTTCTCGGGGTCAGGGAGAACACCTTTGTTGCTCACGACGTGGCCAAGGAACTTAAGTTCACCATAGGCGAATCGACACTTTGTTGGCTTGAGTGACAGGCCGGCGGTCTTGATGGCTTGAAGCACGGCTCGAAGTCGTTTCAGGTGCTCGTCGAAATCTCGTGAAAATACCACGACGTCGTCGAGGTAGACGAGGCAGCTCTGCCATTTCAGACCTGCCAGCACGGTGTCCATGACTCGCTGGAAGGTGGCTGGCGCAGTACAGAGCCCGAACGGCATCACTTTGAATTCGTACAGTCCGTCGGGAGTGACGAGGGCAGTTTTCTCCCGGTCACGTTCGTCGACTTCAATCTGCCAGTAGCCACTCTTCAGATCCATCCACAAAATTATCGGGAGTGGCGCAGTCGGTCTAACGTATCGTCGATGCGGGGGAGCGGATAGACGCCCTTCTTCGTCACAGCGTTCAGTCGACGATAGTCCACGCAGAACCGCAGGGTTCCGTCCTTCTTTACAAGGACGACTGGGGACGCCCATCGACTTCTTGAGGGTTGAATGATGTCGTCATCGAGCATTTCTTAGACTTGATCCTGAATCACCTTCCTTTCCTTTAAGGAGACTCGATACGGCGACTGGTGGACAGGGAGCGCGTCGTCGTCGGTAATAACGCGATGTTTCGCCATTGGTGTTTGGCGAACTTTCGACGACGTGGCAAAACAATCACTGTATTCGGCGAGGAGATCAACCAGTTGTTGGTGCTTAGGAGCTGGGAGCTCGGGGTCGATGTCGATCGGCGGCGGCGGCGTGCTGTTCTGCTGGGACGACGAGGTTTCTTCGGAGATTGCGGTGACCACGGCTGGCGCCTGAAGCTCCTCAATGTGGCCCACAGTAGTACCCTTCGTTAGGTGCTGCGGCTCCTCTCGGAAGTTTGTCACAAGAACAGTTGTACGTCCTTCTTGGAGATCCGTTACGCCTCGTGCGACGCCAATTCCTTTCTCAAGGAGCAGTTGGACGCTGCCTTCCAGAAGAGCTTCACCGTGCATGGCTGCGTCGGTTATGACGGTGACGAAAACACTCGACCGCGGCGGTAAGTTCACATGGTCGGCGATAACTCGGATCGCGGTTGAGGTCGTGTTGGTCTCCACTGGCGGTAAAACAGGCTTTCGCAGAGTCAGCTGGTTTGCCCCGAGGTCGATAACGGCGCCATACTCACAGAGAAAGTCCATTCCGAGGATAACGTCCCTCGAACAGTCTTGCAGAACGACGAACAGGGCACGTCTCACCGTGGATCTCGACGCAGGCAGTGCATCTCCCGACTGGTGTGATGAGGTACCCTCCGGCGGTTTGTATTTGTGGTCCGTCCCACGGCTTGGTGACTTTTCGAAGGCGGCGGGAGAGCCACCCGCTCAAGACTGAGTAGTCTGCTCCGGTGTCCACGAGTGCTGATGCGTCGTGGCCGTCAATGACGACGTTTAGGTTATTGGACACCGCTCCAGGGGCGTCGTTTCGGTCTCTGGTAGCGTTCGAGTGGGGGCCCTCCGACGTTCGTGGAGGATCTTGGCCTTCGGTCGTCTTCGGCAACTCCACCTCCAGGGGTTGCCGCGCCTAGTTTCCCCGGCGTGGAGCGAGGGGCGACAGGCTTTCACGTCGGGGTCGGTGCACCGGCGAAGCTGGACGTCGTGGCGAAGGTGACCGGAACTTTCGGCGGGACGCACGCCCGGGGGACTGAGGTCGTCGCAGGTACTCGTCGATCTCCCGAGGGCGTTCACCATACCGGGGGCGCAGGTCGTTTGGGTGGAATCCGCGCAGCCCGAGTCGTCGGTATGGGCATCGGCGGTACACATGGTCAGCTTCCCCGCAGTGGTAACACAGCGGGCGTCGGTCGGCCGTCCTCCAGACGTCTGTCTTCCTCGGCGCAGGATGCTCTGGGTGAACGTGCGCCTGATCTTCCTGTCGTCGGGGGTACTGCGGCGTTGGGGCGTCTCTTCGGGGTGACGACGTGGCTTGGCGGGGAGCTTGCGGCGGTCGTCGGGCCATCGTGGCGTAGCTCAACGTCGGTTCCTCCGGTGCCACCATGGTGACGGGAACCTCTGGTTGCAGCGCCCAATGCACTTCTTCTCGGACAGCCTCGGCGATGGAAAGGGTTGGTGGGCGGCTGGTAGTTGGCAGCAACCTTCGCAGTTCCTCCCGGACAACCTCTCGGATAATTTCCCGGATGTCCGGTGTACCCGGAGTGTTTTCGCCGTTAAGCAGTGTGGGTGCAGCGACGCCTGGATGTAGCTGGTAGTGGGAAGCACGTGCCTGAAGCGCGCGCTCGATGTTGGTTGCTTCGGCGATGAAAGCTTCGACGGTGGTAGGCGGGCTCCGCACAAGGCCACCGATGATGTTTTCCTTCACACCGCGCATCAAGACCCGCAGCTTTTTCTCTTCGGGAGCGGTTGGGTCGGCGCGATTCATGAGGTGGAGAACGTCTTCGACGAAGCTTGTGACGCTCTCGGTCGACCCTTGGGTTCTCGCTCGCAGGAGTTCTTCGGCACGCTGCCGTCGGTGCTGGTTGGCAAAGGTCCGTCGCAGCTCGGCCTGGAATTCTTCCCACGACGCAATGGACGCATCATGGTTCTCGAACCAGGTGCGTGCCGTGCCTTCCAGAGCAAAGTAGACGTTCTGAAGGCACTGCTCCGGTGTCCATCGGTTATGGCGGGCCACTCGTTCGTAACGTTGTAACGTTGTAGCCAATCTTCAACGTCCTCGAGGATTTCCCCGGTGAAAGGCGTCGGAGTCCGGGGTGCGACGGGCAAGTACACGACGGCAGAAGCGGCCGGGATCTCCGACTGGTTGGCCATCGCCGTTTTCTTGGGCCTCGGCTTGTCCGGCAGCAGACCGTATACAGGATCCTCTCCCTTGGTGCCGCGGCTGGTCCGAGTTTCAGGTTCCGCGATGAGTGGTCTTTTCACCGAGCCGGGAATCGAACTTGCACTGCGGGCCCTTGGAGGGGAACGCTGCACGGGCATGCGGTACCCCGCACCTCCACCAAAATGTCACGGATGACAAGTGACGAGGCGGCGAAGGACTGAGTAAACTGAACGTTTAATGGGGCGAACTTGTGCCCAAAAATAAAAGGAGAAAGAAAGATAACAACAGAGCGTCGCGGGCGTCGAAGGCGGCGAAGCAGCACGATCAAACGCTGAGGCGAGACTGACTCCTGCTTGCCACGCAGAGCCGCTTTTGTACACGCGTTGGCTTCTGGAGCATTCGACGTAGAAGGTTCGACGCGTAGAATGTTCTAACCTCGAATCAGCTAGACGGTTCTCGAATTCACCAGAACATCACATTACAGTGTCAACAAAAATCCGTAGACGCGGCCAGGAATCGAACCCTGGCCCTTCGCGTGGGAGGCAAGCGCGATAACCGTTAGGCTACGGCCGCGCTGCCTACTTTGCGCGCGGCAATATGAGGACGGAAGGAAAAAGGGTTACAGTTGCAAGGAGGCGATTAGAAGATTGGTGGAAATTATCAAGGGAAATTTAAATGATGCATAACTAACTAGCACAGCTGAGGACAGGCCGGACAGAGGAACATTGGGACTCCCTCCCGCGTGGCTCCAGCCAAAAGTCTCAACCCCGTCTCCCAGTGGTCTGGTGCTGGGGTAACGCGGACAAGGTTTGAGCAAAGGAGAATTGGCGACTCCCTCGCCGAAGGAAGGCGTTGTTGTTGTTTTTTTGCCGGTGGACATGGGCTGGTCGTTTTGGTGATATTCCACACCTACTGGAGATTGCTAGAGGAACAAAATTTGTCTTAGTAGGGCGGAAGGGATCATATGTTCGTCTTAGAAGGGCGGGAGGAATCATACCTTGGTCTTTTTAGAATTAGGCTAGGTGGCGCAAGCTACCGCCCGTTACAAAGGGTATAGCCATTAAAGGTGCCCTCCGGAGCTTTCTGCGATCGTCTGTTTATGTTGTTATATTGCGTAGTAGGTGCAAGTTAATATGTATACAAAGTTTTAGAGTACAAAACCGTTTATTAAGTAAATGGCAGTAGAAATATATCGTTACTATTTTCTCTTGAAAGACAATCGCCCATTCCCTGGCCATCGCTAAAACTTGACCAATGGAAATGCTGCATCTCGCGGTGAATGCGAACGTTATTATTGCAATACTTTTTAAGCTTGTTGTAAATTAGAGTTTGAGAAAAACGTAAACTGATTGTGGTGCGGGAAACATAGTTTGCAATTATCGTTCCAAAGCCAGCGAACTATGTTTTCTCCCCGCAAGCTTGTTGCTAGGGGGTGATGCGTCGGCGCGTCGGGTCGTCTGCTTCCCGGGGCGTGTGCAAGCGTGCGTTTGCGACACACGTGTTCCTTCTTCCCGTGGATCCCGACTCCGAAGCCAGCTTTGCGATCCTTCCACGTGAATGAGTCAAACTTTTCCTTGTCATCTGTGGAATGCGACTGCGTATTGCAGTAGTTTCTTTTATCCTTTGAGTGAGCGATTTCCCTGAAATGCCGAACGTTTGTTTCGTCAAGACGTGCCGCCATCAAACTGGGAAGAACGTTCGCAAGGGCTTGCGATTCTTCTCTTTGCCGGAGAAAGAACCACGAAGGACTGCGTGGTTACGCTGCGCCGGGCGAGGGCACGACATTGAGAACCTGCCTCTCATTCCCCGTTTTTGTGCCGAACATTTCGAGCCGACTGCTTTCCGAAAGGACGACCTGCGTCGTTCCCGTCTTCGATCAGATGCTGTGCCGACGCTTCTGCTTCCCGTCGCCGATGAGACCGACGATCCTCCCCCAAAGCGCCAAAAAGTCGTGGTGAGTTTTTCGATGGCTCAAATATTTTTGGGAGTGTCACGAACATGGCATTCTGCGTTGCGCAGTGCGGCTGCTTCTGGTATCTATATTCTGAACTAAGAACTGAGGAGGCATTTGTGTAACATGGGAATCCACATGGCATTCGTCAAGTCGATCAGTGGTGCCTAATGTTCCGGACTAGCGGTTCGAGAGCTTATCGCGCGAATGGTGCGGTGCATGGGGTTTTCTTTTTGGGTTTTATATTTTTCAAAAATCGGGGGGGAAAAAATCGGGCGCTATTTTTCCGGGCGATAATCGGGAAGAAATCGGGTTTTTCCAGAAACCATTCCGAAATTCGGATTTTTTTTCGGGATTTCTTTATCAATTACAAATACGTGCAATGTGTTATTTACATGAACAAAAGTAAACAAAATATATTATATAGGCATAGGATATGTTTCTACCTTCTGATCGGCTCTGAAGTGAATCTTTGCGGAGGTCACGCAAATCGAAGAAAATTGTAACCATCAACTGATGACCAAGGAATTAAACAGATCCAGAATGGTTCATATTTTCTATCAAGTCAGGTGATTTCAACACTGCTTTTCGGGGAGAAATCGGGTTTAACCCGATTTTCATCAGAACTATTCGGGGGAGAAAAATTAGGTATTATCGGGTTTTACCCGAAAACGAAGAACCCTATCAGCATGCACCATCTGCAGGATCGAACTCATTTGTAAAAAGAAAACACGAACAAATAAGATAAAAGGACAGAGTCATAAATCGCCTCTAATGGTACCACCATCACCACCCCCCTCTGCTATTGACCCACCCAAAGTCAATACATGTTTTCCCAGCTTGTTTACAGACAGGAACCCTTTCGTATCAGCTTAGCAAAGTTCCAAGTGTCCGTGACTACTAACAAGCAGGTTTTCTTTTATATCTACTCTTGTGAGCAAACTCAGTTTTTTTTTTCTTCTCACAATCCTGCACCCACGATTGCGTGCAAACCCGCGTTTGCAAATTTGTATGCACATAGCAAATGCACGCCATGATTTTGTTGCTTGGTGGCACTTCTGGACACTGAGAACTCATGGCAGTTGCTGTATGTTTCCCACTTGCGGCTATAAGTGCTCGTTGGTTGCATTTCCTTCAGTGGTTGGTAAATACATGTCAAGCTGCAGATTTACGTATGTATGTAATGTGACATCATATCGCGACATGAACATTTATTGTTGCTGAGCTAGAGACTGAAAATATAGATGGTAATGTAAGTTATAAAAACAAATATAAAGAGTGAGGCATCCCTTAGATTTGTATTACAGTGAGAGCTTTGGTTGAGTGCATGAAATTCTAAGCTATGGAAAGGCTACAAAACAATTCATGGATGTTTGCCATCAGCTAAAAAACTAGGCATCAAGGATGTTTGCCGCGGTGACGGCATTGTGTGGAGTGCTCGAGTTGCACCCTTTAATTTTAAAAATATGAAATGTGTAATAAACAGTGCCCTTTGCAGACTCAGGCCTCGGCAACTGGACTGCCTGCACCCTGCGAGGCAGAAATGACCCTCAGGGACTGTACTGCTGAAACAAACATCCCTGCAGTGGTGCCACCTGTCCCTGTCGCAGACGTGCCTGCACAGTCGCATCCACCCGAGTCTGCCTTCTCCACTTGTAGCAGTGGGGTGCCATATGAATGCACATCTCCTGTTCCCAGCAACATGCCAGACTCTGACGCAACCTACTCTCCGTCTCACAGCGAGGATTACGAGAGGTAAGTTGTGCATATAAACACATAGAATCTGTAAAGAATGCTTCACATGATCCCATTTCAGAATCGAGCATGGTGCATCAGCTCCACCACCACCACCAGAAGAAGAGCGCCAGTTTCTGGTGTTCGAGAGCTGCCTAAGGGAGCTTTTCAAGACGTGCCAAGAGTGCTCAAGACTGTGCCAAACAACGATCGAAACTACCGGCACACTGATCACAGTCTACAGCATCTGCCCTGTGGAGCACGTGCGCACATGGAAAAGCCAGCCCATCGTCAACGGCAGACCAGCAGGGAACATACTGCTGACCAGCCACCTGGTCTTCTCTGGAGTGAAGATTGCCCCTACGCTGCGGATGCTACGCCATATGAACGTGCAGGTCATCTCCGACTCGAGCTTCTACGAGCATCGGAAGGCCTTCGCTCTACCTGCAATCCACAAGGTGAGCAATATTCCGGGACACTGCAACTGCATTTTTTTCCCATATACCCAATTTTCCAATGAGGTACAAAACTGGAGCCCCAGTCACACTTCGGTTAAATGAATAAATATCTTCTTGTAGTATGCCACTTCAATGGTATAGTGCTAAGAGATAAAATTTTATACATCATGTTACATATGTGCCATGGGCTACTAAATCCACGATACTTTAATTTATTTCTGCTATGTGTAGTATCCTGGGGCAGTTCCCTGTCTGGCATTGGGTTGAGTGAGTCAGGTTCCCCGTGAGAGTCAAGAGACAGAGGGTGGTTGTCAGAATGGAAAAGGGTAGGGCAGCTTCGAGGTAACGGGCGGCCTGCTGCCTCTTTTATGAAATACACAAACATAAAAACACAAATCACAACCTAGCACAATCTAAGTCACATTCAAACTCGCTGCATTGTGCTTTCCTTTTTCTTTCACTCAGTCATTCATTCTACAACACTACACTATGCATACATAAACAGATGGGACTATTGTAGTATGCTCCATGCCTTTCTGAAGCAATATTTATCTGCATGAACAGGTCTGGCTGCAAGAGCAACAAGAACTTCTCAACGAGTTGCAGAACAAAGAGGTGGACATCTCTGCTGACGGGAGATTTGACTCCCCTGGGTTCTGTGCCAAGTACCTGACGTACACAGTCCACGTCGAGCAAATCAACAAGATTCTACACTCTGTCCAGGTCCAGCTAAAAGAGGCAAGTAGTCGAATTTACGTGAACCAGTTGCAACAATCTCATAATCTTTCTCTTGTGTTATGTCATCAGTTACTTCACTGCTATGCACTATTTTGGTAAAATATTCATTTCACACCTTTTTTTAGTCTGAACAGGCCATGGCCAGTGTCAACATGGAGAAGGAGGGCCTCCTCAAGCAGCTGCAATTCTTCAAGGAGAAAGGTATGTTCATGCTTAGTTCATGTATATCACTACTCGGCGGCCTTTCAGGCACTCTGTTCAAATTGGCATAATCACTTATTCTTTTGCTATCTTCGGAAACCTAATGGTGCAGGTATCAAGATCCGATCGTTGGTGACTGACCGTCACCCTGCCACACGAAAGCACATGAAGACGCACGAACCCGGGATTGACCACTTCTTTGACATATGGCACATCTCCAAAAGTAAGCAATCCTAACAGGCCATTCGTGTAGCCTTTATTTTCCAGCGATCACGCTGCAGGTTTCCCTGACACGACTCTGAATTTTAGGTGTGAAAAAGAAGCTGACAGCAGCAAGCAAACGGGCTGGATGCCAAGACCTGCAAATCTGGATCCAGACAGCTACAAACCATATGTACTGGTCAGCAAGGGCTGCAGGAGGCGACGAGAAGCTGCTCATCGACATCTGGCTCAGCATGCACAACCATGTCATCAACAAACACTCGGGGCACGAAGGAGCCTATGGAAGGTGCCTCCATGGTGACATGCCAGAGCCAACACGACCATGGATGGATCCCAGTATGTTTTTGTTCTTCCAAATGAAGGTGGTTTTTATAAAACTTGTATCATCCTCAGACTCGCAGGCCTACAACCAATTCAAGAGCATCACTGGCAACAAACTGCTCCTGAAGGACCTTGCACAGATGTCTCCACATGGCCAGACATATGCTTTGGAGGCGTTCCACAGCGTCCTGATAGACTTCGCCCCGAAGTCCCAGGCTTTCAGCCCAGAAGGCATGCTTGCAAAGTAAGTCAACCAATTTACAATCACATTTCCTTTGTTTGGACACTTTCATCCAGTCCATTGGTTACAATGCGACAAACCTGACAGTCTCTTCCTAATGATCAGATAATGGAATTGGATTGATGCCAGAATAACCACTCTTTGTAAGTGGCACACTTTACCATCACTGAAATGTAACCATCTTGCAGGACTCGACTTGCAATCCTCCATTTCAACGAAAACTCAAACCGCTGCCAAGCCGTCACACGAGAGGGCAAGCCACGTTGGTCGGTCGTAACATCAAAAGCACGAAAGGGCCACCACACAGCACGACCAGAGATTACGGATCCCACTTACAGTGAGTATAACACTAACTGCAGTGTGAATGCCTTGTCCAGAGAGCCTAGGAATGTTATCATGCAAAGGTTTGAATTCTAGAGTATGTTGGAAAGCTCATCAAGGAGGCAATGGAGAGCAGCAAACAGTGGCGGTCCCTGGCTGCTGCATCGAGGGCCAACACCGTCGTCTTCCCGGCACCGATGACTGCAGCCTACACAAGGCCTCCAAAAGAGGAACTCGTGGCAGCACGAATGTCCAGGTTCGGCCACAGTCCCCAGTAACGGCATCAAATCCCTGGTCGGGACTTCCATGCTGCCGCAGGTAAGCACACAGGACCTTGGTCCTAATCAGGGTGCAGGATAAGCAGGTGGGGAAACGGCCCATAGAAGCCTACCGCAGCGCCGTGACCGGATTGTGTACTCGTCTGCTTGCGGGTACCCCCGATTTGCAACAGATGGCGCTGCGGCGAGAGGAAAAAAATCGGAATCGGATTTGCATGGAACTTTATGGGAGAGTGCGCAAAATAAACAGAGAGCACGACAGTCTTTATTGAAAATCCACGAGAAACCATCTCCGTCAGTTTAGCCAGTCGCCCACCTGGAGTGAGAGTTTGCGGTGCTCCACATCGATGGCGCCACAGAAAAAAAGAAAACCGAGGGGTACACAATCCGGTCGCTCATTTGGCTCTCGTTTCCCCACCTGTCTATCTTACACCCTGGTCCTAATACAGCCTTGCATGGTAAGCAACCGCTTTGTTTTGCAGGACGTACGGCGAATGCAAGCAGACAGACCCAAGAGAAAACAGCCGAGCTGCAAAATGGTTCACCATTTTCCATTAGGACACCCTGACCGACAGTAAGGAGGAAGTTAGATCTGTCTGCAATCATTTTTCACAGAAATGCAGATCTCTCCTCATGAGAATGTTCCATTTTAGGGCCTAATCAAGCTGGTCATGGCATGCCTATCTCGAAACAGGGCAAGGAACTTTAGCCGGTGGCAATGTCGGAGTCACAGAAAAGTCACCAAACAGCGAGACTCAAGGCTACAGCTCAACTTGTGGTGAGGACGACACTAACTTCAGTGTGAACGCCCATCTAGCCCAACTTGGAATGTCTAGGAATGTAATTATGCAACCGTCTGAATTGTCACTGTAGGTTGGAAAGTCTGTCAACGAGGCGGACAGCAGCAGGCAGCAAAGACCTGGTTGGATCTTTCATGCTGCCAGTGGTAAGCACACAGGAGCCTCGTCCTAATGAAAACTACCATGGTAGGCAATAACCGCTTTGTTTTGCAGAACATACGGCGAATGCAAGCAGACAGACCCAGGAGAAAACAGCCGAGCTGCAAAATGGATCATCGTTTTCCGTTAGGACACCCTGACCGACAGTAAGGAGGACATTAGATCTGTCCGCAATCATTTTTCACAGAAATACAGATCTCTCCTCATGAGAATGTTCCATTTTAGGGCCTAATCAAGCTGGTCATGGCATGCCTATCTCAAAAGAGGGCAAGTAACTTTAGCCGGTGGCAATGTCGAAGTCACAGAAAAGTCACAAAACAGCGAGATTCAAGGCTACAGCTCAACTTGCGGTGAGGACGACACTAACTTCAGTGTGAACGCCCATCTAGCCCAACTTGGAATGTCTAGGAATGTAATTATGCAACAGTCTGAATTTTCACTGTAGGTTGGAAAGTCTGTCAACGAGGCGGACAGCAGCAGGGAGCAAAGACCTGGTTGGATCTTTCATGCTGCCAGTGGTAAGCACACAGGAGCCTCGTCCTAATGAAAACTACCATGGTAGGCAATAACCGCTTTGTTTTGCAGAACGTACGGCGAATGCAAGCAGACAGACCCAAGAGAAAACAGCCGAGCTGCAAAATGGATCATCGTTTTCCGTTAGGACACCCTGACCGACAGTAAGGAGGACATTAGATATGTCTGCAATCATTTTTCACAGAAATACAGATCTCTCCTCATGAGAATGTTCCATTTTAGGGCCTAATCAAGCTGGTCATGGCATGCCTATCTCAAAAGAGGGCAAGGAACTTTAGCCGGTGGCGATGTCGGACTCACAGAAAAGTCACCAAACAGCGAGACTCAAGGCTACAGCTCAACTTGCGGTGAGGACGACACTAACTTCAGTGTGAACGCCCATCTAGCCCAACTTGGAATGTCTAGGAATGTAATTATGCAAGTCTGAATTTTCACTGTTGGCTGGAAAGTCTGTCAACGAGGTGGACAGCAGCAGGAAGCAAAGACCTGGTTCTATCTTTCATGCTGCCAGTGGTAAGCACACAGGAGCCTCGTCCTAATGAAAACTACCATGGTAGGCAATAACCGCTTTGTTTTGCAGAACGTACGGCGAATGCAAGCAGACAGACCCAAGAGAAAACAGCCGAGCTGCAAAATAGATCATTGTTTTCCGTTAGGACACCCTGACCGACAGTAAGGAGGACATTAGATCTGTCTGCAATCATTTTTCACAGAAATGCAGATCTCCTCTATTGATAATGCTTGATTTTAGGGCCACGATCAAGCGTAATGGAGAGATGCAAGCATTGGCACCTGCCCTCTCAAGCCGGATTTTTCAAGCCCAGCATGGTGCACCTCTATTGTTGGCACATCAGTGCCAACAGTAGAGGCATTAGGAGATGAGGACAGGCCAGTGCTATAATTCTTCCCAGTCCATTAGCTGTAATTAGGGTTCTGCGTTCTCAGATAAACCTGATAAACTCCAAAAAACACTAGCCGTTAAAATTTTGCTGATTCAGATTCATTTGAAAAACTCAATTTTTCGGTCCCCCACCAGTCTTTATATTTCCCGGAATCTTCGAACAATTTTTGCAATTCTCCTCTTATTGCAGTGTCAACTTCCGTTGCCATGTAGCCCCTTATAATAAAAATGAGGTAGGCCCTCTACGACAGTAGATGAATACGGCGCTCTCATATGAAAATACTGCTTTACTAAATTCACAAAGTGCTGTTTTCTACCTTTCATTTGCCTCATCGAAAATGCCGAAAGACTCCGAACTTTGCGTACATAAATGGAAGCTCCAAATTGATGGTTCAAAAAAACAAAGCAAAAAAAAACACCCTCTAATTTTGCTAAAAAAAAAAATTAAATTCAAGAACGCAGGATCCTAGCTATAATTTGTGCAAGCTTTCAAGATCGAGGAAATCGGTGACCGTATTGTCATATTCATTGTGGGCACACCACAATGAAGGCGGATCAAGTGCTATTTTGAATAGCATGTAGTTCTGCACCAGAGATCCCATCCCCAGTTCACAAGCTTAGCCCATCGCAGCAGTTTTAGAAAATTAAGTATTTTCGGAACCCAACCGACACTTTTCTGAAGACTGTAACACAATGCCTTATCCATCTTTCTTTTCATGTGCTGATGAGCGGACATGCTGTGGAGACTGCACCGAGGCGGGGCAGCCCGCCCGTGTTTCCAATAAATGGGGTTTTCATCCAGGAGGTAGGCTGGTAATGCAGCAATAACATAAGTGGGGTGGTTGCATATAACACTGGAAATATTAACAGAAGTTTTTTATGGCAATTTAAAAACAGTGCTGCATTTTCCAGTCTACACCACGGTTTTCCCCCCGTCTGCAACATTTGTCTTCTGTCATTATTGACCTGCTTGCAAATAAGTGAGGCACATTAGCTAACCTTACGATTGAAATAAACTGCATTAATTTTCCAACAACTTGACTTCTCGGTACCAGAACCTGGAAGGTGTAGAAATTTGCATGACCAAAAGGAAATAATTTCATAATTGAAAACAAGTGATGCCGATGGTAGTACTAATTTTGTGATCCCCTGGATGATTTCTGCATTGTGAGGTCAATACATGGGTCGATGTAACTAGAATACTGCACTATGCCTAACTAAAAACCCGACCGAAATTGTGCCATTTCCTCAAAGTATTTGCATGATGTGAGGGTATACTTGCCAATTATAACGACAATATAAACTAACAATCGTAGTATTCACTGAAATATATAAGCAGATCCTATTTACCACCGGGAGGAAAAATCCAGGGTAACTGGGCTGTGGAGGCATAGAATATTCCATGCAGGGGATCTATTGTGCATGCTCAAAAAGCATTCCACAGCCAAGTAAAAAAAGGATTTCGCAGAAGGCTTGGACTGGAAAAGTCTATACTAGAGCACATGTTGAGAGTACAGTAATGAAATGTAGGTTGGCAATGAATTCTAAATAAAAAAGTAATACAATTTACAGCATGCCTATAGTCGGTGACAGGTCAAGAACGAAGTGGAAGCTCCTCCCACCTCTTTCCACTTTAGTAGAGCGAATGCTGGAGAGGAGGCGACCTCCTCTCCGTCGTTCGCTGCATTGAAGTGGACTATAGTCACCCAAGCAGAACGTCATTTGTTTGTCATGTTAGCCACGTCGTCATCCAGACCCTCGGAACAATCGACCACGTCCCTCTGAAAACTGCAGCAATCGCAATTCGCCTTTCTTCGCCTCATCGCACCGGCACGCTCAGACGGCTGATGTAGGGAAGCATCTTGTAGCTTCATGCAGTCAGATTTTTCCATGTTATATGCAGTTTTTCCATTTGAAAGAACAGATCCAGAAGAAAGTAGAAGTACACTGCACAACACTGTTAGTGCGAACATGACATCGGTGCTTTTTCTATCTTTACTTTAAAATGGTATTAGTGGGTGCCAAATTTTACTGCTTAGGTTAGTGTTCCAAATGAGCACTTCTCACGCCCTAGTAGTTTTGATGACAGCCTTTGGATTCTAGGAGGAAAATGAAGCAATCCGGTCGTGCGACTCAAATCAAATTTGGGGGTTTTACGTGCCAAACCAACGACGGGCATCTGGCACGCCCCAGCGGAGGACCGAGGATTAATTTCGACCACCTGGGGATCTTTTGACGTGCAATCGAAAGCTCGATTACCAAGCTGCCTTCTCCGCAATATACCTCCATCAGATTGCAGGCACCTCGGCCGGGATTCGAACCCGCCACATGGGGATCCGTAGGCCGGCACTCTCGCCTCGGAGCCACCGAGGCGGCTTCGTCGTGTGACTGAATGTGACGTAGGTGCACTGGCTTTGGTTTGACTACGATCATGTGATCATAGTTATGGTCACGTGATATCGTAGATAATAGGTCACGTGATTTAGAGGATTCCGTTCATGGCTACGAGCGACTTCACACACATGCAGGGAGGGTGAAGAGACAAGGGAAGGGGGTTGCGTGGTCTCTAGGTCAACGCAATTTATTCTGCATCCCTGTAGCCCGCATACACGTCAGCAGGGTACCTGCCCCTAATTGTCTTGACCACACAGGATGGCAGGGGCCGCCTATTCTTCTTTCCCAAGCGGCTCCACAGCCACAGGGCACACTGCCTGTAGGCTGCAAATCTGTAGTGCCTGGAACAATGACAGAGATTGGATGTAAGAAGCAAAGCCTATCACTCTGTTGGCAAATTCTACACTTGTTTTCATTTCTCTAGGCATGTAATCATACTCTGCTTTTCTGTTACGTCCACTCCAGCTATCACATAGCAGAATCCCTATTTGGCAGTCCATGTCGGATGGGCTAGACATGGAAGCCAAATTGAAGTGAACTGCTGTAGATTCATTCTAAATGCTCCAGAGTTAAAAAAAAAAAACTATAGGCCTTGGTTCTCCTAACGCACCTCCAACTCCAATCGACACAACAACCAGTTATACACCGGAATTAACAAGGAAGGAATATCTGTTGCGTGGTCATGATACATAAAATAACTTCACAGGGTCCCAGTTCACAATTGTAGATAATATCTGTCATTGGTGTTGGTGACGAATATTGCATCGCTGTGTTTTGGGAAGGACACATGAAAATTATGTGCACTGGCCAGAGGGAATGGGAGCCATTCATCCAGAACAGTGGAAAGCTCCCCATATGATGTTGTTTAATTTGGGACAAAACAGTGCAGTTCGTAAGCCTGTAAAGCAGTGGTGTGCAAATATTGGTTTGAATCAAATAGTGCACTGTCGTTTCTAGCATCAACAGCGCAAAAAGAGCCGGTTGCATCGGCTTCCCTTTGCAGCGCAAAGGTTATGGCAAACATACTATTCAATTTGAACCAATATTCGCACACACCTACTGCAAAGGTTTCCTGCACACAAGTGCCAGGGAATGTGAACTCATCAGAGAACGTCCCAATTTAACATTGTCTAAAGTGCTGCTGGCACTGCCGAAGCTTGGCATTGGTACTGGTGATTAGGGATTTGAGAATAGCAGCCTGGCCATGAGTGTTCTATGAAGCTCGCACAGAACAGTTTTGGTGTAAACATACGAGCTGAAGTGCTCATGCAATACTGGGGTGGCTCCAGCAGTTGTGATTTCATGTCTCTCCGACACAATCCGTGTCAATATCCGAACATGTCATTCTGACAGCTTCCATTTGCCATGACAGCTGCTACCACCCCCATGTGTTTATTGGTCCTGAATACCTTAGGGCTCAGGGCACCGCAATCATTTGCTATTTGGTCATATACGCATCTGCAAGACACATATATCAACATTTTTTCCCGTTTTAGACTGCGATATGTCTTCCATTATGCTGTGTTGATTTAGAGGTGACACTACTATCATCAGAGTAGTGGGGATACATATGAGCACCCCCAGGCCTCCCCATTCTTGCACGAGAAACTTTGAATTTCAGTGTTTATTTCAATGAATAGTGTTGTTAGAAAAATATTTTAACGAAAAATGATGCGATACTGTTTGGTGACCTATTCCAATCTTGAATCCTTTCTGTCATACTCACCCATGTGGGCACTGCAACATCATCCGTTAAAAAAAAAGCATGGATCTCGACGACGACAGCCTGCTTCTGAATAAGCTGTCCAGACATGGCACTCCTAAAAAACTATCCCAGCATAGCGTGCAAAGAATGCCACACCAGCGGTGCAAGTGTTGCTGGCACCACAAGGAACATGTCGAGATGATCATCCACCGGCTTCAGGGTGTCTGGTATCTGCATCCAAAAATAGTGTAAATCAAGACCCAGACACCCAATAATTATCACCCCACCTTGAGATTTTGGCTTTTCAACTAGATCAGGGGATTAAGGGATCGAAGCTAGGAAGGATTGGAGGGCAGGACGCCTTGACATGTCTCTGACTGGGGTGTTTACTGCCCTATATACCTCCCATGGACCAAAAGCCGTCCCAAAGTGGCAACAAAATATGTTACGGGAGCCAAAGTGTCATGCTGTCAGATGCCGGCAAAGTTACGACAGAGAAAACGAGCAGATGCAAGTGTGGCTGTTGTGGCGTCCCCCCTTGTGACAATCAAGTGAGCACAAACTATTGTGCAGCTCTTGGCACAGCAAATTAGGCAGCTGCCATACGCACATGGACTCTTCTGGCACCGCCAAAATTCTTGACGTGGCAGATTTTTATAAAAAAAGTAAGCAAACGTAAAACAACGCATTGCAAGCGTCCCGGCTGGTGCCTTTGTTGCAATGATGTTCACATGCACGTAAGGGCAACTTCGGCAGGCTTGCAGTTACACGTGCTTCGTCGCGCGGGCGGAGACAACGGCTGTTCGACCGAAACCGAAACCATGCCACTCCGCGCTCCGTCGCCAACTGCATGGTTCCCAAAATAGTATGCAAAATGTAACTGTCCAGCATACGACAATAAACAGTCCAGCGACTTGTGCTTGCCAGGCCGGCAGGCGAGGTACAGGCTAAACACACAGAAAAAAAGAACCTGAGCGTATCGATGCAAGACACTGCGAATCAAGGTCAAAAAAGTTCTTGGAGCGCTTCGTGCAACGACTGAACTCGAGACAAACAAGCACGCTGTGCGGGTTCAGCGTGCAGACATTGCCTTCTTTGCTTTAGCTCACTTCTCTTCACCAACTTTCTTTTGCGGCAGATTTTTCACGTACCGGGGTCCCTCTCGAAAGAAAGCCCACCAGGAAAAACCTAAGTAATCAAAACTTTGCCAAGCAGTCATTGAGTTAGAGAGGGATTTTTATAGCAGCGTATGATTTAAACAAGAGCAGGAATGTCGATGCGTTTCAGTTTAGTAAGCGCCATATCTGCAGCGACGTGGGGACGGCAACACACGACGTCGCGCGAGCGCTTCAGCTCAAAAAGTAACTCCCGCCGCGCAAAAACGTGGTTTTGTCTCACAGCATGACGGCATGTTTGGCACCCGATACACTAACGTCTGAGAGTCCGCACACGCCCGTGTCTACCGCTAAAAAAAAAAAAAAGACGCGAGACGAGATTCCTGAGACGACGAGTGCACGAAACGCGAGACGTGGGGAAAAATCATGCAAGACCAAATAGACGATTAATACAGGGTACTTTGTGTCGGGTGGCGTCTTGTGCGACCTAGCTTACGCATGCTCAATTACGGTTCTCAGTTTCGTTTCGTATATGAAAGGCGACCAAAATTGCTTCTTTGGCGCAGGCTTGGCACGGATTAGCCATATTTCGGTGAAATGTAGCAGGATGTAGAAAAGTTAGCCCCTTGGTGCAGTTTGGCGCAATTGGCGCAGCAATCACATTCCTGCACTGTTTATAAGTGTGTCTCAGCCACGCCTGGACAGATGCCTCCGAGTAATCAATGTCC